GACTTGTACAGGCCTATCAACTATGCAGGTTCGTTTCACAGACTAGTGTGTACTTGTGAGGGTAGAACGATGTTTGATGTTGCTGAATAACTTTTCAATCACTTTTATCTTGTTTTTAGGTGGTGAACCGCAACTAATGTTGACTGGTCCTGGCGGGGCGATGCCTCCAGGTATCCTCCCTCCAGGAGCTGCCAGCCCAGCTATGTACGGAGTTCCCGGAGCTCCCATGTATTACCCCACCAACGGACCCTCGTTCTGAAAAAATCTAGAAATCAGCGTATGTGATACTCCACAGGTTTTTGTTGTTCTTGACGGGCATTTTCGTGCGACCCAGTGTAGCCGCTCTTCGTTTCCTCTGATGCGTATGCCGCTCGAATGCAGCGCAACATCTAGTGAGTTCTCTTCATTTTTATTGTGGTGAAAGAATGTTCTTCATCCTAATACCTTATTTATCACTTGTCACGTTTTTCTTGTTTTTCAGGCAACCAGGCGAAATTCGGGGTACTTGTACACGTGTCCATCATTGGAGCTTAATTTCCCTTCTGTCCTCTTCCATAATAAACCATGTGGTTTTAAAAAGCTGGTCACCTGACCGAAAGTTGCCTGAACCACGCAAGCCTTCAAACCACGCACTCATCACCCCACCATCTTCATACCATAGTCCTCAAGTCAGTACCACCGATTCCTCTATTAGTCGGATCGTTCTCATTATCCGGTATTAACTCACCGTTACCCGGGTTCTTATTCATCCGTGTATCCTACTTTCATTATTGCACTCATCGCAACTGTTTCTTATCTCACCTTGTCGTTTCAACTTCTACTTACACCTCTATTCCGATCATTCCAATCTTCTCACGGGGCTCGAACGCGGTACTTAGCTCCTGCTCCACCTTGCTATTCTGCACATTACTTTCACCATCTCCCCCTTGTCCTACGCTTGTGCTCATTTTACGACTCTGTTTGGGGTCTGATTTCGACCTAATTGTCTTTATAGGTGCAAGCGGGCTCCGTTGTGCCGCAACTTAACACGTATCCCATCGTGTGTTGATCAAAAATTGGAGCATATAATATTATATAAATAACCGTATATACACGACCATGCCTATATATATTCTCATAGCCCTGAGGCAATCTTCTCTCCACTTCTCTGCGTATGAACCACATGCTCATGCATAAAAGCCGTTTTTTCGGTGTTCAACGGGTCATTGTAACACCTGACCTCCCGTGGTTCTCTTGTTTGTTGATGTTGTCCTGCTTATCTCGTCTACCCGTCACTCAGCCCAGCCTGTGCCACTCAACCAAAATCAACGTAACTTTCTTGATTTTACACTGTTATTCTCTGCAGTTTCTTTTCTGGTACGTTTTGTGGTCTACTTCACTGTTGCCATTCACATTTTTCTGTTTTGATTTTTCCCGTACCCAATCGTTCACACCGTCGAGGAAAGAAGATCCAAGCTTACTTTCACAACACAAATCCGCGGGGGTCCCCCTAGTGTGTACCATCTTAACAGAGATGCTGTTTGGTTTGTAGGATTGCACTCATCAATCTCTTGTAGGTATTCCTACCTGGCTTATCCAATCCTTCGCCCATCTGCCTCGCGTGTTCTGTGGCCTTTGGACGCAGTGTGATGATTGTTGGATTTCTTTACTGGATCAATACCAATGTTACTACGATCATTTCTTGCTAACCATCATCATTCTCTGCTAGCCGGCATTAAGCTATTTGGATGTCAATCTAACGTTTGACGAACGACAAACGCTGACGCACCGTGTCGTATAGTTGAATAATCTCCTAGGACACATTTTAGATAGGCGCACTCCCGTTGTTATCGTTTCCGTGCTCAGTTTTTTCCGGACGAATTTCGACTTCGTTTAGCAGCCAAAAAGAAAATAGCATTTTGTATTTTAGGATGAACGTGAACGTGCACCTGGAATCGGCTAGTGATCGTGTGTGAAGATTTAGTTTGGATGACCATAGGAAATATGGGCACTCGCATTGAATCGAGTCATTGGGTCACAGAGGTGCACAAATCATTACATGTCAAGATGCAATCTTATCATGATGGGTGATCCCATCGGCATATACCAAGTTAAGAACGCAATCCTATCAAGGTAGTCCGACTCCACTGCTTGCTGAACCGGACAAAGAACTCTATACAATATACTCTACGGCATATTTGATACTTTGTGCACAAAGACGGCGTAGAATGATTACCGTCACTTTACTCAGTGCTAACAGCTAAGGCTTCAGCTTGCGTAACCACAGCCTGCACGACAAAATTGGGTGCCTGATGTGCCCAGTAGAAACGTGATGTTTTGACCTCTAAGCTGCTAGCATACAGCAAATCGGTTGGGTTTTGTTCAATTCGTACAACCGATAACCCTGTACTTTCATCAAGTATTCGTTGCTGTCTTTTGGCTACCCAATTAGACGAATGAATAGCGAGAACTGTTAGAAAGCTGGAATCAGTACCAGCCTAAAATTACGAAGAATAATTTAGATGAATTTGCGAAGGTAGTGGCCGAATGCACTAGCATCATTCTTTATGGTACTCAGTATCTGTGAGGCAACCTTGATCAATTTAAGTCGTTAGGCTTCACGGGAAGACATCTTTGTTCTTTCTGTTGTGTCTAGTNCACATCCTATAAACCGGACCATTGAGTGATGAAGTTGCAGAGCTCTACGGTCGAGGGGATCTCGTTCTCTCATGATAACTGGCAATCTGAGTACTGATATGAGACTGAGCAAGGACGATAAAAAGCTGCTTACCACCAAAGGTGAATGGCAGTTGTATAGTCCAACTCTGGGATTTTAGGGAACTCAACTGACAGCAATTTGTTCTCAATGTTGAAATCTTCCTTGATAGTACTTATTCGACATCAATGCAGTTTTACTTTTTACTGCCATTAGCTTGCTTGGGACGTCGGGATCAGAGTCAGAGAGAAGAACAAGAACTTTCAGACCGCGGTTGTATGAATAATCAGTAGATACACGAGCGCCACTGTTTGCGACACCCAGCCATATCGCTCAGTGTCTTCAAACCTCGGTTACCATGATCTCGGTCGCCCCATCCAGAATACCTAACGCATTCTGATTAGGGT